TGGAGGACTTACAGAAGCTTTTTACCCGACCAGAGGATTGCGACAAGGCTGCCCTTTATCCCCATACATTTTCACTCTCTGTATGGAACGGCTAGGTCACTTGATCTCGGCTGCCGTGGATAGGGGAGAGTGGAAACCCATCAGGTTGTCGTCACCGGGACCCAGTCTCTCTCATCTCTTTTTTGCTGACGATTTGATTCTCTTCAGTGAAGCTTCTATAGAGCAGGTACAAGTGATTATGCAATGCTTCGAGGAATTCTCTGCGGCCTCGGGTCAGCAGATCAGCCGCCCAAAATCAAGAGTATTCTTCTCCAAGAATGTGAGAGCTTCGGATTCGGTAGCTATTAGTGCGGCCCTTGACATTCCTGTGACGCTGAATTTGGGGCGCTATTTGGGGGTGCCAGTGATACATGACAGGGTTTCTAAAGCCACGTATACCGACCTGATCGATCGGATTGACTCCAGGCTGGCGGGGTGGAAAGTCAAGTCCCTGTCCCTAGCTGGCCGAGTTACTTTAGCACAGTCGGTCCTATCATCTCTCCCGGCTTATACGATGCAAACGTCGTTCCTCCCCGCGTCTGTCAGGGAGTATATCGACAAGAAAATTAGAGGATTTATCTGGGGGAGTTCGGAGCAGGGACGAAAGATTCATCTTGTTGATTGGGACACGGTGTGCAGACCCAAGGAGGAGGGGGGTTTGGGGTTGAGGAATGCGACCAGGATGAATGAAGCTTTTATGGTGAAGATAGCGTGGCGGCTGCTGACTGAGCAAGAGAGCCTCTGGGCACGGGTGGTTCGGGGAAAGTACTTAAAGCGAACAGCAGGGGAATGGAGACCGAGAGAGAAGGGTCGATTATCCAATCTATGGCGAGGCGTATTGCGAATCCTCCATTACATCCCGGAAGGCCTAATGTGGAATATCCAGAGTGGTATGCAGACGAGGTTCTGGACGGATAGATGGTTATTCGATGGGCCACCTCTAGTGCAGCTTGCGGCCAGCCTACCGAACGAAGCAAAGCAGTTAACTGTGGCCGAGATGACTCTTAATGGCAGCTGGAACATGGATTTCATTCGGGCTTTCCTCCCTGAAGAGATAGCTCAACAGGTGCAGTTGCACCCGATCCCCCAATCGGCAGGAGATGATATACCTGTTTGGCGATTCTCTAGCTCAGGGCGATTTACGCTGCACACAGCCTACGATCTGGTTCGTGGGGAGGATGAAGGCCCGCAACACCATCCCAAGTGGAGGAATATTTGGCGCATTGAAGGACCCCAGCGTACGCGCACGTTTTTCTGGTTAGTATCACATCAAAAACTTCTTACTAACTCAGAACGTGTTCGTCGTCACTTGGCGTCGTCGGCGGACTGTAAAATCTGTGGGGGTGAGATGGAGACAGTGATACATGTGATAAGGGATTGCCCTTATGCGAGATTAGTTTGGTCCCATTTCCTTGATGGCGAGCCTGATGGTCCTTTTAATGAAGGGGATGTGGATAAGTGGATAATGTACTATCTTGGTGGCAAGAGTAGTGTGGTCGAGGCTCCTATGTTTGCCATTCTGTGCTGGCAACTCTGGAAGAACAGAAACACTATGGTGTTTGAAGAGAAGCTTGCGCCAGCCAACCATCTTGCATACCAGGTGCGCACGCTAGTCGACCAATCCCGCCAAGCTTACACTTCGGCGAGCGTAGTTACGGGTAGTAGTGGGGGGAGCCGAAGTGGCATGATCAGCTGGGACCGGCCTCCGACAGGCTGGGTTTGTTTAAATACGGATGGCTCTGTGGTTCTAGCTCAGAAGAGTACTGCTGCGGGTGGAGTGCTCAGGGGATGTGATGGGAGATTCATCAAGGCTTTCGCTGCTAATTTAGGTGGAGGTTCGATTACGCATGCAGAGTTGGGAGGCATAGTGCACGGTTTGCGTATGGCCTGGGAGGAGGGAGCAAGGAAGGTGGTTTTACAGACTGATTCGACAATGGCAATCAACCTAATCAAGGATGCGGATGACCATAACCCACACTATACCGTGATAGCAGCTATCCGAGAGCTGCTGGCCAGAGACTGGGAGATCGAGCTCGAGCATGTTTTTCGCGAAGGAAACTATGTTGCGGATTATTTGGCGTCTGTTGGCCATTCTTTGCCTATAGGAATCCATTTGATTGGTGTCCCGAGCCCTACCCTGAGGTATTGGTTGTATTTTGACACTATTGGGGTTCAGACCCAGAGAATCATCAGTAATTAAAGGGTTAGAGCGCCCCTAGCGCTCTGTTTCGCACCAAAAAAAAAAAATCTGAATTGAAACAGTAATGCTAGGAGTGTGACAATTGGAGAATAAATGAAAACGATAACTTCTTACATAGAATCCTTCTCCCTGAAGAAAGAAAGTGGAACCCCGGCCCTGACCTTATGAGAATCAAAAAGGAGAAAAAATACAGATGCGTAGCGTTGAAGCAAAACAGCAACAAATCACATACCCTGTTGGAAAAAGAAACGGCAACGAATAGGCACTCCTCCATTTGTTAAAGAAAAAGGTAAGCTGGGTCGATTTTGCCTATTTCAATTTCTTTGAGCTAGTCGTTTGTCCTGTACCTGCGGATTGTGTTAGTGTGGGTTTGAGAAACAAATTAAAACTAAGGAAGAAATTGCAGCGCTCTTTGATTTCCTAATGAGACTTGATGAGAGATTCGGGACAATATGCAACAAATTTCTCTCTATAAGGCCAGCTCGTATGCTTGTTGAAGTATTCAACATCGCCTCAAACGATAAACAACAACGTTTTCTCGCTCTAAAGAGACATTTGATTTCTGAAGTTGCTGTCTTTGCCTCGCAAAGCGAAGGTGGTTACCGAAACGATCGAGCGGCGAAATAGTGAGGGTGATAACACTCAAATTATATTATTTATCACTTGCTCGTATGCTTGTTGAAGTATTCAACATCGCCTCAAACGATAATCAACAAGGTTTTCTCGCCTAAAAGAGACATCCGATTCCTGAAGTTGTTGTATTTGCCTCGCAAAGCGAAGGTGGTTACCGAAACGATCGAGCAGCGAAATAGTGAGGGTGATAACACTCAAATTATATTATTTATCACTTTTGTATTTGATACATTTTGGCCTCCTATCAATGCATCTTTAGTATATTTTGTTATAATTTAGATAGAAACCATAACTATGTGATCAATGTGTTAATAATAGACGTAGGATGTGTTTTAGTATTATTTTATGACTTTTTTTTTGTTGCTCTTTTGTGCTTTTCAAGATCAAACACACTCTAGGATGATTTTGGATAAGCAATTGGATAAATTTGGATGATCAAGAGGGACAATTATTGAAAGATGAAGGTGATTCGTACATTAAAGAGGGGAAGCCTTCATGAAGTCGTGGTAAAAGGTCAAGAGCAGTCCACTGGAGAAATTTCAGCCCAAGCAATGAAGAAACCCAGACAATGAGCTATTTGAGATATTCATGATACATGTGTTTATTTTAGAAGTGAGAAGAAGTTTCTGATGAGTTGATGAAAAATGAAGAACCGTCATTTATAAAGACATGATGCAAAAAATGACAAAAATGTCATAAAGTAACTGCTACAAAAAGGTTATATTTGGAGTGTTCCCGAAGTTAACGGTAACAAATCAACGGCTAGTTTTATGATTTTTTTTTGTCTTAGAATTAGAAAGAATTACATAAATAATTTTATTTTCAAAATTAATGACAAAATAAAAATAATTAAAGGTAAATATAAAAATTAGAGGCAAAATAAGTATGGTTTATTGAAATAAGTTGAAAAAGGTGAAAATCTAAATTTAACATTTTAGAGAGTTGGAGTAAAAATGAGATTTGAGAAGCTAAAACTTCATATTTGAGAGTTTCAGAAGCTATCTATCACTTATTCACTTGCAGGATTGAAGTTAGTCTAAGCATAATTATCATTTGCAAACCTACACAAAAAGTTAGATGACTCATGAGTCATGACTCAACTCCATTTAAGTAAAATTTTAGGGGTCGTTTGGTAAGCATGTAATCTACCCACATATTTTAAAATTACAAGATATCTGTGATTCCACTGTTTTTTTTTGTTTCATTTTTGGACAGATATCATGATATTGGTGCACCATGTAATTCTAGAATTCATGTGATCATGATATCTCAAATGCTTTGGGTTTACCCAAAGTATTTGAGATTTCGTGCCAAATTATGTGGGTTCTACCATAAACTCATGCAAGCCAAACAATGCATTCTAATATTACACAAGTTCTCGCAACTCAATCTACAATATACATGAATTATTCAAATACATGAATTCTATATTACGTGCTTACGACCCCTTAGTGTTATTCGAGCCGATTGTACAAATGCCAATTTTTTTAGTACCACAGCCCATAACATAAAAGCCTGAAAGGAGTGGCCCACTTAGGCCCCAAAGATACCCACTACACCACACATTCAACTTCTTGCAGTGGCCCAAACGCCTCTCTCAATTATATTATGATAAATTCCCCTCCAAAGGATTCTACCATATGGTTTATCTTCGACATTAATAAGTTGAATAATTTTATAATGAATTTTTTTGAATAGTATTTACCTTCATTGCTAAGATACTTAGGCTCGTTATCTCTGCTTTGAATTTTAAACCACGATATAATCCTCCTCCCTATAATTTGTAAAAAACAGAGACAAAAATTAAAATGCAATTAGGTATTTTGAAGAGAAAAAAAAACCTCAGCATGTCCATGGATACCATGTCGTTTCGATCTCTCAGTAGTCTGTCTCCATCTCGCTCCAAGGAAAAAGAAATCTCCACCATTATTGACGAGTTCAATAATTGGCCATTCATAGAAAAAGTATTAATAGTCGGATTGGGACCATTGGATCGACACCGATCTCCACCAATCTAAGGATCCGACGGCTTAAAAGTGATTCATACATCTTACAGGTCGAATCGCTTCATCATAATTTCTCTCTCTTCCCAAATATTTTTTTTCATGATTAATTTCTCTTTTGTTTATTTTTTTCAACGGCCAGACCGGTGCCTGACGTATCTGAAGAAGGCACTTCCCTCTTCATCCTGCATTTTCCTTTCTTCCCCCACTTTGGTTTTAATTAGATCTCATCTCATCTCCCTCTTCTTCTTCCTGATCCGGTAACGATTCATCGGCGCTCGGTTCTTTTGTTTCCCCTTTCTTATCTTCTTTCTCCCGGTTTCCCCTTAGCATTTGTTCCTCCGTGTTGTAGGTTTTCTTCCTTCCCTGGATTTGTGTGATTGAAAGGAAGTCAATTTGTTCCGCTTCGAATCAATGGCTGCTCCGCCGGCAAGAGCTCGCGCCGATTACGATTACCTCATAAAGCTCCTCTTGATCGGCGATAGCGGTACGGGTTTCTCTGCTCTTGTTGGGGAGGCCTTTATTTGAATTTCTCAGATTAAAATGCATTTGTATGATTTGTCGGTTAATTTTTTTTTTTTTTGGGTGCGTGCTTAAGAAAATGCTTCTAGGTTAGTCTTCGTAGTTGGAGAGTTGGGACTTGGGAGGAACTGTCGTGGATCTTTTGATAGCGGAGAGGAGAGTTTCAGTATGCTCTTGAAATCAGTGGATGCTTACATTGATCCTCTGCACCTACGTTGTTTTCAGTTCAGTTTCTTTCTTAGGTTGGTATTTCACCCCGTTATTGGTTGTGGGTGGAACCGGAAGCGCCTAGGATATGCCCTGCTGGTTGGAGAAGTGTGATTTAGTCATTTAGAGTTGTGGATACTTTTTTAGCTTGTACTGGACCATGATTCTGGTTGCGCTTTGTGGAGGTGGGAGGTTGTTGAATGTTTAGTGTTACACCATTCAGTAGAACATATTTGAAGCTTTACTTTGTTGTGGGTATTATTACTTGAACGCCAACTTAGTTTAGCACAAGCCGTGTTTATGTGACTATAGATTGACGGAATGATGTGGCGTTTTCGCTTACATTCACTGAAGCCTACAAGTTGGGGAGCCAAGTGGAGTGCTTTATCGTTGTTTCTGGAGCATTCCATTACTGCGATTTCCCTGATCAGTTATCATTATTGTGTTCCTGCTAGTACAGTTGTTGTTTTCGGCACACATACTTAACTTGTTTTTTGTTCTGTGATTTGTAGGTGTGGGTAAGAGTTGCCTCCTTCTACGTTTTTCAGATGGTTCCTTCACCACTAGTTTCATAACAACCATTGGGTAAACAACTTCTGAAGTTGTTTGAAGCCGTGATTTCCTTTTTTGTTCAGTATGGAATTGCTTCTGATTTTTGAAATATTGTCTTCTTCCTTTCCAACAGCATTGACTTCAAGATAAGGACAATTGAGCTTGATCAGAAGCGTATTAAGTTGCAGATATGGGATACTGCTGGTCAAGAGCGTTTCCGTACAATTACAACCGGTTAGTCTTGGGGCTTAAGGGCGTTATAAGGGAACACAAACTTGATGTTCAATGGTATTGGGATTTTAGCTTTTCTCTATTATGTGTTTTTGGGTACCGGGAAAAAGTGGTGCTTTCTTGTTCTGTGCCCAGAGCCACATTCTTACATTTCCTAAGAAAGACGCATCTCAATTCTATCTGGATTGCTGTTAAGAGTTGAAACACATATCGCTGCTTACATGTTCTTCCCTCTATATAACAACCACAGTTCGGCCAGGTCCATACAATTTGTATATACATATAAAAGGATCATACCCTCTGGTGTCATGTCTGATTGGAGATTATTACGGCTCTTTTCTAATTTCAATGTATCCATGTGGAGACAACAATTGATACCAAATATAAGTATGGGCTATGATAATATCTAACAGTGGCTTTCCATGATGGAAGAAATCATTCAATTTAGAGTTTGCTTTTATAGGTGTATACTAGTGTTGTTGTTGATCTGTTCAAGCACTTGATCCTTCTCGAAAAATTGCTAACTTATAATAATCCTTTTTCTTAATGTGTATGATGCGACTTACATCTGGGTATTGCCCCACAGTGCTACATGCATCTTCTTTTCGTAGGAAGTGTGACATTGATATTGGTTTTATAATATACTGGATTTCAGTTATTATATTTATTGTGAATGCAGTTTTTTTTTTGTTGAAATAATTATGTAGCGATCTTAATTGTAATGACTAAGGCAGTCATTTTGTTTTTATTTTTGTGGCTAGTGGTTTGATCATTTTGGTGTTGAATTTTGTTAAGGGATCCAGTGTCTTGTGGAAATGAGTTTTTATTCCATTATTATGGAACAGGCTCTCCTCTCAGTAGTTTTTATTCCATTATTATATAACTCAATGACAGCTTGGTTCTTTCTTTCTTATTTAGGCGCTAGATGGTGTCTTTGGTATGCTTCCTTGTATGGGTTGTTTTTGCCTGCCTTTTGTCTTGATGCCTATGAACAAATGATCTCTGTCTGGTCTCCCTGTATTGATTTTTTATGCTTTAGTGCTTCTGTGCTAGGATTCTCACTTCATGATTTGCATGCTTCGGAATTTGGCTTTCCATTGTTCCATCTCATTTCGTTATTGTTTAAATAATTTGCTTGTTAATATATTTGAAAAGATTTGCTAAAGTAAAATTCTTTTGCAGCTTATTACCGGGGAGCAATGGGCATTTTACTCGTGTATGATGTCACTGACGAGTCATCTTTCAACAGTAAATTCTTTTCTTTTACTACATTGAATTTTTGGTTCCCTTGTCGTCTCGTGTCTTTAACCTGTCTCTTTTTTAAGTTTGTGGTTGGAATGATTTATGCTTGTGTCCCTAGATATTAGGAATTGGATTCGCAACATTGAACAACATGCTTCTGACAATGTCAACAAGATCTTGGTGGGAAACAAGGCGGACATGGATGAGAGCAAGAGGGTATGCTTTTAAACTGTTTTGGGATTTTACTTCTGTTTATGACTGAGGAACTGGTTTATATTTGTACAAAGCTGATGAGAAAATTGAAATGTAACTTCAGGCTGTTCCTACCTCGAAAGGCCAGGCGCTTGCAGATGAATATGGCATCAAGTTCTTTGAGACTGTAAGTAGTAACTATTACTCCTGTTTGTTGAAAAGGGTATGAAATTCTCTTATATATCATACGATTGTTATGTCATGCAGAGTGCTAAGACGAACTTAAATGTGGAAGAAGTTTTCTTTTCAATAGCTAGGGACATCAAGCAACGACTTGCAGATACTGATTCAAAGTCCGAGGTAACATTTATGTTTCTGTATGTCTGGTTTATCTAATGAATGATGAAATAGACAAATAGGGCATTTGAAAGGAGCAAGTAGAATAACTTCCCTTATGCATTGGGATTTGGATGTTGAATATATATTAATGCCATATGCCATAATTGAGGCCCAGATAGTTGATTCCTGGTGGCAGGTGCTTCATTCACATTAGTCTTAACCTTTTCTTTCTTTATGGCCAGTTCTGCTTTCCCTTTAAAAGTTAATCCCTCTGCAATGTTTGCCCCCCGTTGGAGACTTGCTAAGGGAAGCTGAAATTTGCAGGAAACCTGATAAAGGCTAACTGAAACCTTAAACTGAGACTATTCCCTTGGGTTGTTTTCGGATTTGAGGATTTGGATTTTGGACTTGGAATCATTTCTTAGTGAGATGAGGGTTAACCTTGGAGTGTGACTGGTGGCTCTTCCTTTTCTGACCTACGATTTGTTGGATTCTGCAGCCACAGACGATCAAGATTAATCAACCGGACCAGGCTGGAGGTGCCAGCCAGGCTGCACAAAAGTCTGCTTGCTGTGGTTCATAAACAAGGGGGTTTTAAACACAGATTACAGGGATACCCTCGTTGTCTTCATCGTACGGCTAAGTCTCTTGCTTGTTGGTGGGAACTGGATTTTGTTTATCTGACTATTGTGGTCTATGCTGCTTGTATTATTCTCCTAATCAATTATTTTACAACACTACCAAAACAATCAAGGACACCAACATTTGGGTATGAATTGCTTAGATCGTTTGTCATTTGGGGAATTGTATTATTATGTCTGCGTTGATATTGACTGAAGTGTAGGATCTCTCTCAAATGGAATATCCTCTCCATTGACCGCTCTACTTCACTGTAATGAGATTTGATTACCCCCATTTTCCTCACTATGCGCTGAAGAAGATTTAATGGAATCCAGCATCTACTTTCACCATTGCGAAATCATCGTTGATGCTGCTGTTTCTGGGGGAATTGGCGCTTGTGATTTAACAGATCCTTTTGTGCAGATCCCTTGACTCCCTCGCTCATCCAAGATGTCGGAGAGTGCGATTGATGTTGTCGTCTAGTGGCTCCAAGTGATCCGGGTTGCTCCGAGTCATATACCAATTGAAACTCACTTCAAGCATACACAAACGTGTGGAAGATCCTACTCTCACTTATTCCGAATAATAAGTCATGCTCCTTGGCAAAGGTGCAAGAAAAATTTGATGCTCGTCGCTTACTACAGCTATCTTGATGAAAGGCCAAGTGAAACCTCTAACCAGGTGTAGTATAGAGCAAGTATTTCAAATATAAACACGGGTGACTTATCTATCCTTACTTCAATGGAATACACGTTATCTAGCAACCCGATTGATGTTTGAATTACCAAAACTAAGCAAGCACGAAAGTGAAAAGTTTCACCGGGATGTGCTTCCCCCTAGTCTACGTTGTATCGATGTTGTGACACCCAAATTGATTCACACTAGCATATACCATGGGGAGCTCTAATCTAGATAGGACTCGCTATTCGGGTTGTCCAATTTGTTCAATTACACTACCCAGTGCGGCGGTACAACTGATCTAGGTAATTGAGGCAACCACAACAATTCTCAGAATTGTGTAAAACCTGATATGACACAAAGAATCTAATCACACTCGTTCATAGACCCACGTGTTGAATCATCAATGCTCTAAATCAACTCTAGGTAGATATTCTCTCACCTAGGTTAATTAGCCCCAAATTGAGGGAAGTGATCAAGAACCATCAATTTTCATGAATAATACTCAACTCAATATATGATCAAGATGCAAATGAAGGATAGGGTTCACAAATAATCAATTACAACATACTAACTAGGGTTACTTATAAAAAAAAAAACATACTAACTAGGGTACAACACCTAAGTGAAATGGAGAACTAATCCATAGCTAGAGTGAGAAAAACAATGAAAATCCATGAAATAGCTTGCATCACAAAGTCATGACCAGAGCCACGACCATCCGAATTAACCCCTGGTCGTGACTCTAACCAAGGTGCCACCATTTTTGCTTTGTCTCACGACCTCTTCATCGCGTCTCACGACCAAATCGTGAGACTGGTCGTGCACAATCCGGAGATCCCTGTCAATCTATACATTGTCACACTCACTTCAGCGAATGTCACGACTAGGTCGTGAACCTGGACACCTGGTCAAGACTTTCACCATATCTTAGGCTCTTTTGTCCCGTTTTCGCTCCAACTCCTCCAACATCCGCCCCTTCCCCATATTTACCTGCTAGAATCTGGAATATACACAAACAAGTGCAACCTAGCGTAAAATAGGCTAAGGGAACATCCCGAACCAAGTTACGGGCCAATCAAGTTTAGATTAATCGGGGTTGTGGGTAAACCAAATTGCAAGTCAACTGGATTGCAAATTAAACAACCTTCGAGTCATTGACTTTTAACCAACTCAATTTACCAGTTGAATGGATGGACAGACTCCTTGGAGCGGATTCTATTTTGACACCTCTACACCTCCATATGGCCCTTATCTGTTTTAATATGCTGGAGAAAGCACCACGCCTTGTATAATAGAGCAAAGCCCCCACCACTTTGGTTATCAGACAAGGTGGTCCTCTTTTGTGAGTTGAGACTATTATTCTGAGCCAGAAGTGTCGCTGTACTTTTGGTAGGCCAGTTTACCTACCGAGATTGGAGTCCCATTTGCCCGGCAGACTGAATCAATCCAGACATATATACTGGACATCATTTTCCATTAACTGATACAATACAAAGAAAGCATCCTGCAATAGTAGTGATATAATACAGACTCCAAACAACATGGGAAGAATGGCGATATAACTACAAAAATATTGCACAAACTTCCACCCCAAAGCAAAATACCACCACATGTTCAAATTCCATTTTACCCTTTTAAGAGAATGGGGCATATACCCCCCACTGTCATACATATCAAAACCCGCAGGTTAGGAAAGGTCCTGTGACCCACCACCAGCTTCACCCAGCTTAGTCCCACCACCATAACTAATCCCACATATTCCAAAACATCCACTGGCCGCCGGCCAGCCTTCAGTAGGTGGGAAGCGAGAGAAAACATTTGCCATAGGAAGAGAGACCACCTTTTATGCACAAAAAACAAGCTGCTAATTCAACCTTAAATCACATCTATTGCTGTATCACATGGGGTTTCATTTCATCCTTCCCATATATACGTTGAAGCTCACGAGTTGCAGCCAGAAACGATTCTGAAACCAAAGAAAAACCGCCTGGGTCAGAACTCCAATTCAAACATGCCCCATTGCATCCAAAAACAATAACACACTAGACCAAAAAGCATCATCACCTTTCCAAAGACGGAATGACTTCTGATTGATAGCACAACCAGTGATTGTCTGGATAACATCAAACAGCATGTGCTGTGGTGTGCTCCTTAGCTCCTGGACAACCCCATAGATTGTCTTACCGTTGTCAAAATAGATGTGGTTATTTGGGTGCTTTGTTTTGCAATTAGCATGCCTCTCAAATTCAAATGCATTGATCACCTGTAGAGTTATTAGTTACCTCATGACCTCGCATGTATTGATCATGAACTTGGGACATACAATTATGAAATCATTATTTCAAATGTTCACCTTGGAAAGATTGCATGACTGACAACTACATAGGTAGCCTGTACCACTTATGATTCCACGGAGCTCCTTCTGAAGTGCATAACAAGAGAGAAAGAATGAGCTCCTAGTGCACATTAGGAAGACAAGACTTCAACAATAAAGATTATGAAGTAACAGTACCTCTCGTGACCAAGCAACATACTTCACAGGACATCCATCAAGTATTCCAGTAGAAAGCAAACTTCTGACATTCGAAGGAAAGTTGTTAGGAGGAGCTTTCTTTGATGCTTTTGCATCATCTTTCTTCTTAGAATCGCTTCCAGTTCCAGAGGCAGTTGCTCCCCGAGCTGAAGACACAAGGGCACCAAAGCTTGATTTACCCAACTCTTTTCCACTTGCTGCATCCAATCCTTGGATTGAAGTTTGACTCAACAGTTCATAACTGGATAGTAGACGTCCAGAAGTGTTTGTATCATCCTCATCATAACCACCAAATGATATTATGGTGCTCTCTCCCTTGCTATAAGACTGACCCATCGACAAACAGCTCATGTCACCGCTGTTGTACCACTGACCCATTGAGGAGATATTACTCTCGTTTCCTCCACCGCTGTACATGTTCCCCGCAATCGCAATGTTGTTCTCCTCTACCTTAGTGTAGGCTTGTGGTGGCATTGTAACAAGATTATTGTTCTCAGCCTTGGGAAACCCATGACCCATTACAAGAGATTCATTGGTCTCTTTGTATGATTGATTGACTGACAAGTTGTTGTCTTCCCCTTTACTGTAGGCATGTCCCATTGATATGAAGGCACCACTATGGTCCTGGCCAAAGGATTCACCAACCGACATTATGCTTCCATCTGCTTTTGGGTAAGCAAGACACATGGACATTGAAGCGTCATCTCTTTTCTCATATGCATCACCAGTTCCTAAATTGCTACAGTCTACCCTACTATAAGCATTGTCAAGGGACACAGGCATGAGACCCTCAGACTCTTTGACCTGACTGACTTTCACTTTTCTGATCCCACTATAGTTTATGCCAGAACGCTGATCTTCTAGTGTATGAGACATGGACAAACCAAATGAAGAAGTGTTTCCGAAGGGATCATCTTCTATCTTCCTCTTATCCCCGTCAAATTTCTCTGAGCTAACGGATGCAATGTTTCTCTCATCGAAATTGGATGTCCTAGAGGGCTCAGGATCAAACAACCGGTCAGTGAACTGGCCAGTGATTGACTGGAAACTAGAAGGATTGCCCCAGGGAGGAATATTTGACGTCAGCAGTCCTGTAAACAAATTATGGGTTGGAATTCCTACTGCCTGCTTCTTGTTGGGAAACAGCTCTGCCTCAGCAGCATCCATGATCCACTGATGAGAACGCTTAGCATCACTTCTAGAAGGATCCTCGTTATCATCTCCACTATTTACACAACCAACACTTTTCCCCATCCAAAATCCTTGATTCTGAAACGACTGTCAGGGTAAGTCATCACATATACAGAGAGTTAAGACAGAACGTATTCTGAAGTAAAACCAATTAGCACTCAGAAACCAAACTAATGCAGCATGGAATCAAACAACACAATGAAAAGAAGTGCAATGAAATGACATAAGAAAGGACATCCCAGTACCCTAGACCTCTCAATCTATGATGCTGAGAGAGACACGCCTGTTGTTAATAAATTGATATATACATGTCACCATATCACGATATTCCTCAAGGTTGGTTGAAGAAACATCACTGAGTGTCATTTCTATCCAGTGCCGGAGGAGAAAGGAAAATGTACCTTAACAAGAAATTAGATCATCCATTTTGACGGCACATAAGCAACATATATCAGAACCCAAGCTAGATTAACATGCTCAAGAAAAACAACTTGGAAAGATCTATCCCGATAAGTACATGCAGAAGGCATCAAGTTTACAAGTAGCAGCTAATTCTAGCTTAACATTTAATGCAATGGGTATCTGATTAGTCAATAGAGATTCAATTTAGCCTGAGTTTCGGGTACAATACCATTTCTCGCTAATTGCTACTTCCAGCTAGCAGATCTTTCCACGACATGCAAGCTGACAGCCCACCCTTCTCTGGCAGAGTACCTACAAGAACCAACCCAATAAATAAAGCAGGAACAATTAGCCATT